GCTCGAGGGGTACCGCCCACTCGGCCGGCTCTGCGTTGAGGAGGTGGCTTAGATTTGATGAGGCGCTATAATGGCTTTTCTAGATATAACGAGCGCACTCTCTGTCAAGAGATCCAAAAATTGATCAAGGAATGGTCTTCAACACTATCTGAGACTCCGCTCATCTTCATTCGCTGCAGCAGTTTCCACCGGGACGCTTTCTTCGGCGAAAATCTCTTCAGTTCGAAAGATTCGAGAATGAGGTATTTCTATCCTGAAGCTTCCTCAAATGCCCCTAGAACCCTCCCGTTTCAAACGATCCGCCCCGGCCTCGACGAGATCAAACGCGTCTACGCCTTGTTGGCGTCAATTTTTGCTCACGGGCCAGAGGAAGAATTTATTCTCAAGGTAGTCTTATTATTTTCTACGTTTTATTTTTGTTAAGCTGAAAAACAGCCGAGAGAAGACGCGGCAAGTGCTGACCAAAAAGCGAAAGGAGCAGGGAATCGTGGCGATCGCGGACAGTGACGAAGAAGAGAAGGCCTCTCAAGAAGCTGCCAAGTTGAGGCAAGAAAAAACCGAGCGCAAGGTGCAGATCTATACACTTACTTTATTTTTTAAATTCAGAAGATCGGGACCATCGCCGAAAAAGAAGAGCGAGAAGCGTTGGACCCGTTTGCGGATGTAAGATTTTTGACTGAGAATTTATTTTTTTTGTTTAGATCGACAAGTTATGGCGTGCTTCTTTATACACTGGTGTTCGCAACGACGATGCAGAGCAACTACAGGTGAGATTTCCAGGGACTAAAAACCGGAACTTCTAGAAACTGATCGAGAACCCGCCCTGCGATGCGGCACGGAGCTTTCAGTTCCTCTCGGAATTTCGCGCGCCGCCTGACGGAAGCTCCTTTTTACACTTGGCTGCGAAAAACAGCTATCGTGAAGCGTTACAGGTATTTCCACCTCTCAAAACTTATATTTTTAGACATTCCTCGATGCCGGCGTCTTTCCATCGATGAAAAACGAGAAGGGAGAAGTGCCGTTTGATGTGAGTTATATTTTCGTTATATTACTATCATTTTCTCAGGTTTCTGCCGACAAGTCTGTGCGAAACCTGTTCATGGCGTTCCGCAACAAACAGGCCGAGGTCAACGACAAGCTCGACTGGCGGTCAACACATATCCCGATGCCGACGGCGAAGGTAAGCCTCCCTTGCTGATAGTAGCTATTTACTCTAACAGGCCGAAAAGGATGAGGCACAGCTGGAGATTGAGCGAGAGAAGAAGAGGGTGAAAAAGGAGCGACAACGGGTAAGCGATAACGGGCTTTCGGATAAAGGGGCAATAAACTGACGCTGTTAGGGTGAGGAATGCGGGTTTGCAGTAGAGAAAACGAAATTTAATGGAACTTTAAAGATCCAATTTTTTAGGAACGGCAAAAGGTGAAAAAGGCCGAGGAAAAGGTCGAAGCTGCCGAAAAGGCTGCTCAGGCCGAATGGCTTTCGCTGTCAGACCGAGAGAGAAGAGCTCGAGCCGCTGAGGCCCGGATGGCCAAGCTGGAGCCGAAGCAGGGCCCGAGATGCTATCAGGTATCAATCGTTCGGAATTTAAAGTAATATATCTTTAGTGCGGCGGTGTGATGCCTGCGAAGCCGTTCAACTACTCCAATTTCGAGTTCTGCGCCCCGGCGTGTGTGGCGCTACACCGGAATTCACAACCGGCCGCCAAAAACATATAAACAGTACGGAATTTAGCTTTAATTTTTGATTGGTTGGCCTTCTTCTGGTGTCGCACCTGTGATAATGTCTTTTTTGAAGTGTCCTTGTTGTACTACGTTGTTTTGCTATACTTTTTGAGAAATGAGATAAATTTATATACATTTTTTTGAAACAAATTTCGCGTTTTTCCACATTGGACCAAAAGTTTGAGCGCGCCTCTAAATTTAGATACAGCTGGTGCAAACATTTCGCTACTATTTACGCCGTCTACGTCAGCGTGGACAAGTCATTTACAGTCGATTTATGTGCCCGGGATATTTTATTGGGTGTCGCCGGATCGTTTTCGACACGCCCTTCCGAGGAGATAAGCTTTTACGACGGCCCCGGCGGGCTCATCGGCTTCAGCCTCGGCAGCCGAGCGTTTTTGCCAGCAGCCCCACAGTACGCAACCCGGCTTCCGGCTACGGGCGGGGAATGTTTCGGATGAAGCTGTTGTGGGCATTGTTGTGTCTTATTCCGGTTAGTTTAAAGACAAATAAATAAATAAATAAAAGATTTATTCTTTTAAAGAAATTTTTAAAGCGATAGTTCTAATTTGCTTAATCATTACTACAGGCAACCCACGCTTCCTACAAATTGACCGTCTACCTTCGACGTCTCGACGTCGGCCAGGGTTTCCTGGCGAACGGTACCCACTGTACCCCCACGTGGAATATCGGGGATCAATGTAATATTATGCTCAAGGTAAGCTGCGGCTTGCCACGCCCATCAAAAGACGCTAATCTACTGGACGAACTCGTCAAACCGATTTAAAATTGAGTTGTTCTAGCGATTTTAGCTAGCCGTTTGCCTTGGAACCCCGGATGATCTCTCGGACCCGTGCCCGGAAACTAAGCGCCAGCCGATCGATCTCGGCCAAGTTACGACCAACCAAAATGCCATCGAATTTGCGGTAACTCCACATAAATTCCGGCAATTTTTACAAATTTAGGGTGGCGGCACGGCCTATGGTGCCTGGAAGAACCCGGCCGACTTTGTGAATACCGACGATGGAGTTTTGTACGCGGTATGGGATGATGTAATTTATTTGATTTTATATAATTCCAGGGCTTTTCCCTGTACGTTGAGGCGCGCGACAAGCAGAATGGGCTGATCGACAGCTACTCGCATCGTTTTGACGACGGGCTGTCGCCGAACAATTTCGAGTACTTCTCGCATGAGCGCGTCAACTTGGAGGCGACTTTGTAAGTTTTTGTTGTTTTTTTTTTTGACTGGCTATAAACGGTTGGGAATTGACCGCGACGGCAAAGAGGAGAGTTCTGCTTTCGGACAAAAAAAATAATTCGTTAGGTTCTCGATCGCCTGGCGAGCCAGCGGCGATCTTCCGACCCCGCCGCCTCCTACCACCACCGAGGGCCCGACCACAACAACACAATCTACTACTTCCGGTCCATCCACACCGGAACCGACGACCGAAGGTAAATAGCGTCCCAATAATGGCCAAAAAAACTTAACATAATTCTACCAAAAATTCGACGTTTAGCCCCGGTGACGGCAAAGGACTGCAGCGAGATTGTTGGAGGCACGGACGGCCCGAATCAGATCCTCATCAACAACGTCACAACAACGGTAGCACCAATTATTTGAAAGGAATCGGGCAACGTTTAGGTGTACTGCTCATTTGGATCGAACGTCGCCATCACCCACATTCAGGGGTTTGTCTTTCTAAACGTTTAAAAATAATACACCATTTGTTTCATATGCATATTAATTCATTTAGACATGTTTTGAATTATTCAAAACCGCTTTCCCAATCCAAATAAGAAGAAGTGAAATAACGGATTACTTTATGATTACTCTATCGAGGTTTTAGGCGCGGCGAACTAGATTTTACTAAAGACACCTTCGCGAAAACCTATGACGACTACGCGAAACCGTTCGGCACGGTCGGCAAGGGCAACAACTATTGGCTGGGTCTGGACAATATCAACGTGATCACGAACAGCGGAGAGTAAGCGAGAAATTCAAAGAAGCAACCATCTTTAGCTATTCGCTGTTCATCGAGGTTTGCTGCGGAACGAAGTCAGTCACCCAACAGATCTACAAGAGTGCAACGGTTTGGTAATTTCTGGTTGATTGCTTAGAAAACTGGTATCAAAAGTGAACATTATGCCTCTAGGTGGGGACCAAGAACCAGCAATACATGCTGAACGCCAGCGCAACTATCAACACCGGCCTGAACGTTAATGATGCGGGGAACGCGTACGGCCGTGATTTGGGGTTTGTTCGCGACGCCGGCCTTTTGTATATCTTTTGGCAGACGCCCCTTCCATACCTATGCGCAATGGGCTCAGGATGGCACTCAAGATGAGGAATATTGCGCAGTCATCAACTATTCCAAAGATGAAGTAACAGCAGGCAGCGGGTAACGCTTCGATTCAGATCTTTTCATTGGCGCTGGGCTTGCCATGCAATTATTGTTAAAGGCCACGATTCGATACATTCGTGATTTTGCTTTTTTATTTGAGCCAGTTAAGTAGATGTAATTTTAGTATACGAATTTCTGGCACTCCGACAATCTATTTTTTTAGTGGCTGGTGGTTCGGAAATTGTGGCGAAAACTTGAATGGGGCCTACTATGAACTGAAGGATTTGAATCCGGACACCTGTGAAATTCCAACCGAGTAAGTTTTAGGGATAACATACGAACGATCGTTCGTACGAGCTATCAGAATGTTGAACTAATCATGCCGCGTCCGCGACGCGGGTTTCGCAAACCAGCAATCTTATAACTTTCTAGTCTGAAGGCAAAGGGCACCGGCATCGAGCTGATCACGAAAGTAAACCCGACGATAACCGAACCACTCTACGACAAGCGGAGCTACACAAGAGCCAGGATGGGCCTCTACAAGGGTTCTGGGCAGCCACTTGGCCTCAAAGACTATTGCGTAAGCCAATAAAGGAAACCGAGTTCAACCTTTTTTAGAGCTGAACCCCCGCGATGAGACCTCGCGTCTGATTTTACCATTTGCGAATAAATTGTATTAATTGCCTGAAGTTTTCAGATTACGACGATTGGCTTGACCATGGCTTCTTAATTAATTTCTTGTTTTTGGCTTTTTACCAAATTTAGAGAACTCGTCTATGTGATGCGAGGCGGGCTGAGGATAGCGGCTCTCTTTTTAGCGGTGAGTGGACTTGAAGTTTCAGGGTATATGAAGAGATTTGAAGCGTATTAGAAGAGCCCATCTAATAAATTTGAAAGGTCGTGATTTTAGATAGCCATCGTGCCCAGCCTCAGCTATCAGCTGACGATTCAGCTGCAGTCGTTGTCGCTGACCGGGAACTTGGCCGACGGCAAGCCGTGCTCTCAACTGTCGGCATTTGGGATAAAATGCTATCCGCTGGTTGCCATCTGTGTTCAGACGGCTACGGAGTAAGTCTGAGTAGAATAATTAGCAAATAGAAAACTGAAAATTGAAAATTCCATTTATATAGCGTCTATAAAAGTTTATTTTGGTTTTATTTTATTTTTTCGTCTAGTGATATAAACTCCATTGATTAAAATTACCGTATACTCGCGAATTTTTAGTGAAACTAGCGACCCGTCGACATGCCAGGGCGAGGATTCGGCTTGGTTCGACCTTGGGGTTACGGTAGGGACTAGAGTGGCGCTTAATCAAATCAGATTTGAATAAGATTCAAATTATTCAAATCAAGCCGATTTGATTTGAATTGGAGCCGAGCAAATCAAATCAAATCGATTTGATTTGAGCTCCGCCAGTTCAAATCAAATCCAGCCGATTTGAATAATTTGAATAAGACCTCAGCGAAATGAACCCAACCCAGCTCGTAATTCGTGCACCGCTCTTTCCTATAAACCCTAACTGTAAAGTGTTTTTACTCAACTTGGAGTTTCGATTAGGGACCAGGTTCATCTTGTGCAGAATTTTTCGCTGATTCCGAATCCACTTTCCAAATTTGCTACCGACTTTTATTTAAAAAGTAATTTTTGGTGTAAATTAAGCTAAAAAAGCCAAAATTTCGGATTCTGGCCCACTATCCCACATTGGTTCTATGTAGCCCCGGTGCCCTCAAGTAGGCTCTCACAGTCCGTTGCCCGGTTGGCACCATGGTGCATTGGCAAAGTCCTCGCTTGCCGAGCGCCGGCTGGCGGTTCGAACCCCCGCCCTACCACAACCTTTTGCTTGCATAAAAAAAATCTAATTCTTTCATCAAAAAGCTTGCTTTGACCTTTAAAATGCTTGCCTAGCCAATGTCTATCCAATTTTGACGTTAAAATTGATCAAGACATTCGAAAGCGATAACAGCACCATGGTTTTGGTGAAAAACCCTACCATAATTGCCGTATAACTTTCAAAATAAATGTCGGTAGCAAATTTGGAAAGTGGATTCAGAATCAGCGCAAAATTCTGCACAAGGTGCACTTGGACCCGAAACGAAAGTCCAAGTTGAGTAAAAACACTTTACAGTTAGCATGGTTCCAGCGTCCCAGTTAACGATTCCTTATACATTTCCTATTGTTTTTACCCTTGAGCTTTTCCAAAGAAAAACCATAGCGCAGGCTAAATCTGACAAATAGAACCGTCTGGCTCAATTTTATATCAAGAACATCAATGCGCCCCATGAATTATTGTAAAGGACACCTAAATGTGCAGAAAGGGCGCTACCAAAAGCCCTGCGAACCGCTGATTTTCAATTTGCATCCCTGATAAGCCTGTTGTTCAAATCCCAAATCAAATCGATTTGATTTGAGTTGGGCAGCCCCTAATTCAAATCAAATCGATTTGATTTGAAGTTGATTTTTCGCACTCAAATTTGCTAATTCAAATCAAATCAATTTGAAGCCGATTTGATTTGAATAAGCGCCACTCTAGTAGGGACTGTGACACGGTAAGGGGAGCCCAGCTTTTAGCCGGCCACAAATGAGATCAATTGGGACCCTGGATTTATCAAGGGGTGGTTCAACCCCCAAACGCTGAAGATGCCCGGCAATTTTCCGGTGGGTTTTCGCTTTTTAAGTTTGGTATAGCTGACTAAAACGTTGAAAAATCATTATAGAGCAGTCCCTACTTCGTGAAGCTACGCGTACAGCATTATTACGGAACTACGGTCAAGCAGATTGACAATGCCTTGTGGAAAATAGATCAATTCACACCGGATAAGGACGGTGGGACGGTGGCTACTGTAAAATTGAATGATAGACCCAAGGGTCAAATTGAAAAGTGAGTTTCTCTCTGTTTCTTTCTGTCTGTCTCTCTGTATCTCTCTGTCCCTTTCTCTCCCTCGCTCTTTGTTTTTATCTCGCTCTCTCTCACTTTCTCTTGCCATCTCCCTCAAAGTTTGCATCTTCTAGCTTTATCTTCGAATGGACGTACGATGGAATTAGCGGACCGACCACGGCGGCTCCTTCCACAACTTCGGCCCAGACGACGACAGGTAGTTTTCGCAGGCAGCAGAGATCATTTGAGAATTCTGGGGTAAGAACAAGTACAGGGTGTCCCAAAAAAAAACCCCCCCTACCTAGCGGTCCGCAGTCAAGTCCGATTTTTATGATTGAACTACCCATCGATAGCTCTCGAAAAGGCGAGAAAACAAGCGGGTCTCGTTTTCTAAGATTTAATCTAATTCCATCGATATTTAAGGTTTTTCTAAAAAACTGGTACTTTTTCAACAGGAATTTCGCAATTAGCATGCAGATCCTGCACAAATTAGCAGTTTTCATGGTTTTTGGACGTAAAATTAGCGAATAAAAATGCATAATAAAGAAAATGAACCCTCCTTGTTTTCTCGCCTTTTCGGGAGCTTTCGATAGATACCTAAATCGTAAAAATCGGAATCGACTGCGGACCGCTAGGTAGGGGGGGTTTTTTTTTGGGACACCCTGTATAGGTTAAACGAAAATCGTACGACAAGCAAAAAAATTCAGGTGCACCGCAGCAGAGCTCCACACCAGCTGGCACTACTCAAACTGCAGGACCTACGCAGGGTACGGAAAGTAAGCCAACAGGTCAGTTTTCCCTTGTTTTATTAGAATTTAATCGCATACTATGATTGCCTTCATCCGTCTGTCTGTCTATCTCTCGCTCTCTTTCTCACTCTCTCGCTCTCACTCGCACGTTTTTCACTATTCTTTAAATCCTAGCTACGGCAAAATTTAGGAAGTCCCACCACAAAGCAAGCAAATGACGCGACGACATCGCCAGTATCAGGAGGACCAACGACTTCCGGAGGTGGTGATGGCGTTAGCAGCACTACGACAAATGGAGCTCAATCTAGCCCCTCTACTTCTGATGCTAAGTCGACTGCAACAGCCTCGCCGGGGGTAAGGGTTTTGTCGACATTTCAGGTAGCTTGGGATGGCTTGTTTGAGGAGCTTGACGGTTGAGAATGAAGCCCGGTTGACGTTTTTTCGTACCTCGGCCTCAAAAGAAACAATTCCCATTAAAACCCGAATTTCAGAGTACGAAAGACCCTAATGGAGACGGCATCTTCTTCGAATGACCTGATTTTTTTAAACGTGCAACTCCCGGAAGTAAAAATCGATTTTTTTTGCGTTTATGTTTGAGCGGAAAAGCGACGTGATTATATACAGAATTTAAAATACGACACAAAACGGAAAATATACGTTAATTTAGTCAACCTCGAAAAGTTGTTTTTCGACAAATTTAATTGGAGATTCTGATAGTAAACACAAAATAAAGGGTAGAAAAAGGTATACTAAAAAGGTTACTACACGTATTTCCATATTTTTTGGCTCTATGACGGTATAAAAGCGCATGCTAGCAAAGATCATTGGGGAATTTGTGATTGGGCAATTTCGCCGAATTTCTATGACCCAAAAACACGGTTCAAACTCAATCTGTCCTTTTCGCTCGGGTCCAAAAATAAACAAGATAATCATCAGGGCGGGTACCCTAATTTTTCAACTCAGTCGATGATCCCGGTCTCCGCCAAACTGTTTACCACCAACGTTTCTATTTTGCAGGGTCTTAAGGACAATTCCAGGGCACAGGTTCGAGGCGTTTCGGAGGAATGGTGCTGTTTCAAAACTTGGGGGAAGAGAGAGAGAGAGAGAGCGAGAGAGAGAAAGTGAGAGAGATCTCGCACAAAACGACACTGAACAACAAAAACATGGGCGCGCGTCTCGTCTCGCGCACCTCTTGCTCATCCAAGGCCATCTGACAAATTCGCCCAAGACGTTTAGAGGCTCGGGTTATGGTATAAAATACGGTGGCCCGGGGTGGAGAGGCATCAGCAAGTTGTTTGCATTCGAGGATCAACACCGATTGTTCCTATTTATAGTTACTATCCTTTTCTAAAATAATTTCTCATCTAGAACCGTCATTGATATATAATTCCCGACTGGGGAATACTGTAGAGTAGCTAAGCTTGAGCCTAAGCCCAAGCTTGTCCAAAAGCCGAAGTCGAAGCCTAAGCCTATTCCTAAACATAAGTCTAAGCCTAAGCCTACTCCTAGCCTACTGCGAAGCCTTGGCCTAAGCCTATGCCTAAGCCAAGCCTAAGCCAAGCCTAGGCCAAGCCTAGGCCAAGCCTAAGCCAAGCCTAAGCCAAACCTAATCCCAAGCCTAAGTCCAAGTCTGAGCCAAGCCTAGGCCAAATCTAAGCCTAAGCTTAACTCTGCCGATACAGAATCCAATAAATAATTCAATTTTCCATTGATATAATTACTTTTATTCATTTTTCATTGCCTTTATTTACCATTCCTATAAGTGTCGTACGATTGGAAAATTAAATAAATTTTTGCAGAACCGCAACTAACAAAAATGCTGACGAAAGTGCTCGTGCTCTGCCTCCTGCTCGCCATCGCCTTTGCCTTCACTGAGCATCAGGAACAGGCCGGGCTTGACCAGGAGCGCGATCAGCGATCCGCTGAATTCGCCGATGGAGAGAAGACGTGAGTTTTGGGCTTATTCTAGGCTACCGTATGAAAAATAGCAAAAAAAATTCCATCTTCTACCACCTCAAAATTTACGAAATATTTACAGGCTGATCCGTAATCGCCGTCAATGGGGATGGGGTGGCATGGGATACGGAATGGGGTAAGTATTGTATCTCTCTCACTATCTCTCTCTCACTTCTTGCTCTCTTTCTCTCTTTCTCACTTTCTTTCTCACTCTCTCGCCCTCATCAAAACCCAAATAAATTAATTTTCAGCATGTACCGCCCGTACGGCATGATGGGCATGTACCGCCCGTGGGGAATGTGGGGCCGTTAAATGACGTCGCCGAAGCATCCCAACAATGCAATATAACTACTGTATATAAGAAGACTGTAGATCAGTGGCAATAAAGAGATTCATTACCTTGTATTGAATACAAAACAAAACGTATATTTATCATTAAGAAAGACAGGAGAGAGCGAAAGAGTGAGAGAGATGAGAGAGAAAGGGAGAGAGAGAGAGCGAGAGGAGCGGGGTAGAGATAGCTAGCGAGAGAGGGAGAGAGCGTGAGTGAGCTAACTAGGGAGGTATCTGAACTCGGCATCGAACTTTGAGAAGTCAGATACACCGTTCGACGCGCCTTGTCGAGGGGATTCCAAATATGTAATAAAATCAACCAGAGCCTATAACCGTAAAAAGTTATGAGCATTTTAAGTTTTGCACCGAAAGCCGCCGCTGCGATATGAGCCCCTCCCAGCGCACCCTATTCATCGGTCCCGTGGCGTAGTGGTGTGCGCATGGGTCCCTGAGCTGTATGACCAGGGTTCGGATCCGCTCACGAGTTTTATTTTTTGCTTTTTGACCAGTTCCTACTTTTTTGTATTTCCAAATTCGGGAATAAGTTTTTCTTGACTGTGTGACACCTAAAAGGCACCAGCGATGATAAAATAACCTCGGGCAACAAGGCCAGAATTGGACGCTCTCTACATGAAAGTTGACAAAATCGTCAAAAACCGCCCTTTTAAGACTCTGTACGAATTCGAAGAATGTAATTTGTCAAAAATAGAACAGTACATCTTGATCAGCAGAAAATTCTCTTTCGAATGAGCTATCTTACATAGGCTTTACGCGAAATTCCCGAAACGTCTTCGGCAAGCTGGCCATTCCCAACCCTTACGCCGCATTCCAAAAATATTTTTTTACGGAAATTTTTGGCTGCCGTATGTAACATAGCTCATTTGAAAGAGCTTTCTTTGTTGAATAAGGAGCACTAATCAGTTTAGGGTAAATTCCATTCCGCGGGATGATACAGGGTCTGAAAGATACGGTTTTTCACCATTTTGTCGACTTTGAATGCTCATAACTTTTTACCGTTATACGCTCTGGTTGATTTTATTACATATTTGGAATCCCCTCGACAAGGCGCGTCGAATGGTGTATCTAACTTCTCAAAGTTCGATGCCGAGTTCAGATACCTCCCTAGTAAGGAGCGAGCGAGAATGAGAGAGAGTGAGAGAGAGAGAGAGAGAGAGAGAGAGCGAGAGACCGAAGAAGTGTATACACGGAACCGTTTTATACAAAAGGGAGTAATCGCAAATTCTTTATTTCCCACTCATTGGCGTTTTGTCACTCTCTCTCTCTCTCTCTCTCTCTCTCTCTCTCCTCTCTCAGCGCCACCTTTTGTCCTGCACGCTTTATATTCCGAGCGACGCTCCACCTTGGTTTCTTCTTTGAATTCCCGAAAAATTTGGCTCGTATATGGCATGCCGGATGTCAACTCGATACGTTATTGGATTTTGCCTGTTTACTACAGTTTTAACGGCGGGTAACCGTAGCCTAGTCCACGCGGCGGCTGAGTCTAACAATGCCCAAGCTACGCCATTAAAATTCTTCTTTCTAAATGGCAACAAGAAAACGTCGATGATTGGGAATGATGCAAGTTGTCTTCGCATTGCGCTACGTTATACAACTATTGCACCACTAGGGCTACCGTAATCAGTGTCATTTTGTAGCTGCTCGCCATCGGGCTCGCCTCGATTCACCACGAAAAGACGTGCCCGGAATTGACGGGCCGGGTCACTGGCACGGCAATTAAAGTCATCGATATGTGAGCCGGTTTTGTAGTTTGTAGTTTGTAGTTTGGATAGACCCCCAGGGATTTAGACTACAAACTACACAAAAAATAAACATTTTAGCATGAAAAGCGCGACGGAACTCTGGGAAACGTTACGAATCGGGGTGAGGATTTGCGGCTACAAAATGAGATTTTGAACCGATTTAAAGTCACGGACAAGGGTTGGCGATAGATTTTATTTTATTCTATTTTATTTTTATATATTTTTTATGGAATTCCCACAGATTTTGCCGTGACCGCGCTCCGCAACGGACGCGGACGTGCTTCTAATGCGCAAAAAACTGTAGAGAATCCACAGCCTCGAATTCAACAGCCGTGCCTTGCCCATCCCTTTAAAAATACCTGAAGAATCGAGGTTAAGATTGCCGAAGTGACGACAACCGATTTCAAAGCGATCTCAATCTGGATTTCCGGCCCCACCCCACTCAAAAGCGAGAAGCTTTTCCTGGAGCTCGACACGCAGGTACCAATTTTACGCGTTGCGCTCTCTCTCTCTCTCTCTCTCTCTCTCTGTCTCTCTTCGCCCAGACTCAGCGTAAACCGGTGTATACGTGCAGCTCGTTGAACCTGAGCTTGAGCGTCGTTTCTCACCCTTCTTCCGGTCCGGAAATTCCAGAAATCTAAGAACTTCTAGGGCCTGGGCGGTCTTCCAGCCTCCTGCCACGGGCACGGGATGCAGGTTGCGGATTATGTCGACAGAGCCTGGAAGCAGACTCGGGATGCATTGACGTTAGGAATTTTGCTAAAAGAGCTAGGAATTGCACGAATGGAATCGATTCGGACCTTTTTCTTTATTGTCGTTTCGGTACTTGCTCAGTATCGGGGGGGGGGGGGGGGGGGATTTATTCGGAGAAACTAGTTGTTTTCCTAAAAATTCGGGACTGTTTGGTAACTTAAGAATAAGTATTCAATAGTGTTTTTGACTAAAATGTAACTAGATTAAAGCGCAAAAACACAGAAAAACTCAAAACATTTTTTTGATTTGAAATTTCGGTCGAATTCGAGTAGTTTTGGACCAAAAATCGATGTTTTATAATTACTACGCAACATTGTAACGTTTTTACGTTTAGGAATAACAAAAAAAAACGTTTGGAAGCACTTCTTCGACTTAGACTAGGAAAAAGAATGTCTTAGAACCAGAAAAAGTTTGTCCCCCCCCCCCCGCAATGCAAAGGAATCGATCGAATTCCGCGCCCTTAAAAATCAAATCGCTCTAGGACCAAGCTAAAAGAGCTCGCCAAGACACACCAGGATGGCTACGATCTGGTGGTAAGTCTGAAAATCCATAAACAAAAGCTTTTTGATGAATTTCAGCTGCAAGGACACTCAATTGGGGGTTGCCTTGCCCAACTCTTTGCCGTCTGGGCGGTCGAGCAAAAAATCTGGCCGAACAAGAATGTGCACACCGTCGGCTTTAGCGTGCCTCGATGTGGGAATGTTGTGTGTCACAGCAAATTTTATCCAAAAATAACAATTTTCGAACTTTGCGGTGGCGGTGAGCAAGGCATTGGGGGTGGCGGTCAGGTTCTACGAGCTGGGTGATGTCGAAATGGTAAATTTAGTCGGATTTAACCAAAAAATTCCCGAATTTTCAGGAGCATCCCCCGCTGAACGGGGAATATAAGGAAGTGACGCCCATCTACCAAGCAACTCCGGCAGGGTATTATCATTCTGGGGTACGTTTCTAGGCAGGCTAGGGCTTGGTTTTGCTTAGGCTTAGGCTTCGTTTCACCTAGGCTTAGGCTTGACTTTGCGTAGGAGTGGGCTTGGCTTTACCTAGGCTTCGACTTGGTTTTGCGTAGGCTTAGGACTAAATTTACAAGCTTAGGTTTGGCTGTGCGTAGGCTTAGGCTTAGCTTGACCTAGGCTTAGGCTTGGCTTTGCGGATTCTTGGGCTGGCTTTGCGTAGGTTTCGACTTGGTATGCGTAGGCTTAGGGTTAGCTTTACCTAGGCTTCGACTTAGTTTTGCGTAGACTTAGGCTTCGCTTTACCTAGGCTTCGAGTTGGTTCTGCGTAGACTTAGGCTTCGCTGTACCTAGGCTTCGACTTGGTTTTGCGCAGGCTTAGGCTTCGCTTTGCGTAGGGTTGGGCTCGGCTTTGCGTACGCTTCGGCTTGACTTAGGCTTGACTTTGTCTTGGCTTTGTGTATGGTCGGGCTTGGCTTTGCGTAGGCTTAGGCTTAGCTTGACCTAGGCTTCGCTTTACATAGGCTTAGGCTTGACTTTCCGTATTCTTGGGCTGGATTTGCGTAGGTTTCGACTTTGTATGCGTAGGCTTAGGCGTAGCTTTACCTAGGCTTCGACTTGGTTTTGCGTAGGCTTAGGCTTCGCCTTACCTAGGCTTCGACTTGGTTTTGCGTAGACTTAGGCTTCGCTTTACATCTGCTTCGACTTGGTGTTGCGCAGGCTTAGGCTTCGTTTTGCGTAGGGTTGGGCTTGGCGTTGCGTATGCTTCGGCTTGACCTAGGCGTGACTTTGACTTGGCTTTGCATAGGCTTAGGCTTCGCTGGGCTTTGTTTGGGCTCAGACTTGGCTTAGGTTTGGCCTTTGGCAGGCTTAGGTTTGGCTTTGCATGGACTGGGGAATAACTTTACGTAGGCTTAGGCAGCGGTCGACAAAACGAGTAACCGCTCTTCAGAAAGCGGCCATCATCGACCAGCTCGGCTACACCAATACATATTGTGATGAAGAAGACGCTCTTTGTGCTCAAAGTAGGAAATTCTAAGCTTAGAACTCGGCCAAACTGTTTAGAGGTAAAAGACGACGGCGGGAACCCGCATCGTTTCGAGGGTCGCGGGAAGGTACTTTCGGGGGAAGACTGCTTCGTCAAGAAGTGATAAATCGTACTGTATAACTGTTTTAAATGCGACAGCATTGTTGGCATAAATTTTTTTAACAAATGGCTATAAAAAGCTTTTCCGGGTAAGAATTGCTATTCATTAAAATCCGACTTTTTTCGGCTACAGATTTAAAATTTTTAAAATAGAGAACGCCGCGCTTTGGCAAATTTTTGGTGCGCAATATAGAATACGAGAAAATAGGTTTAAACACGTAACATTTGAGAGTATACTGGTACTCTCTTGGCACCACACGTCAAAACTGACCTCCCAACCCCCCGGAATTCGCCACAACGCTTATGGAAATTGGGCACAGGTCGTGGCACCGGGGGGTGGTTATTGATAAGTTGTCGGGCGGGACTTGGCTTTTGGGGCTCACAAGGAGTGCCCTTTTAGTGTCATCGGCAAAACCTTTCGCGACCTACCTCATTCGATAGAGAATTGAATTCTGAACAAGCTCCCGTTGTTCGTTTTTGCGGAATGGCTGTCTCCGATTTTATAAAATTAAAAAACTAAAAACAGCATTTTTGGACCACGATGCTCGCGCCACCCCCAAAACCGCCCCCGGGGGAAGAGCCGCTCTGACCTCTCCCATCCACCAGTAAGCGTGGCGCAGTGGCTAGCACCACGGCCTACCGAATTTTTTTTGTGATTCAAGCAAAAGTTCGAAACTCACGTCAACAATTCATTTTGCTTTTTGAATAAGGTTACGCTTGGAACCCCTTGGGGACATTTCATCTGAATTTTTGAGAAAAGCCGGCTTACACCGACTAGGTTCTTATTTAGCGCTTGGTTTTCAAAAACATAGGTTTTTCACAAAGGCTGCTCGATTGTCTCTGCTTCAAATAAAATGGCGGTTGACCAATGAAGCTCAAGCGCAATCAAAATTCAAAAAGCAAAATGAATTGTTGATGTGAGTTTCGAACTTTTGCTTGAATCACAAAAAAAGTTCGGTAGGCCGTGGTGTTAGCCACTGCGCCACGCTTACTGGTGGATGGGAGAGGTCAGAGCGGCTCTTCCCCCGGGGGCGTTTTTGGGGTGGCGCGAGCATCGTGGTCCAAAAATGCTGATTTTAGTTTTTTAATTTTATAAAATCGGAGACAGCCATTCCGCAAAAACGAACAACGGGAGCTTGTTCAGAATTCAATTCTCTATCGAATGAGGTAGGTAGCGAAAGGTTTTGCCGATGACACTAAAAGGGCACTCCTTGTCAGAGGGCTTCGGTGTCTTCTAGGATGGCTGAGAAGGCGGTAGAAGCTAATGGGTAAGTGGGTACCTTACTGTTTTCGGATTTTTGATTTGCTCTCAGAATGCCGAAATTCCATAGTGTCGAAATTTGCTTATTTTCATCTTATCGAAATTTCAATGCTTTTTCCGCTTTGGATATTCGCCTCAAACTTTTCGCAAATTAAAATTTCAGCGCGTTGAAATGTCGACAAATAATGTCGAAATGTCATGTCAAATAATCTTCATAATGTCGCAATTTCATAATGCCGAAATTTCTCAATGCCGAAACTTGATAATACCCAAATTTACTGAGGTCTTAATTTCATAATTTCGAAATTTATAATGCCGAAGTGTCAGAATGCCGAAATTGCAATTACTGCATCATTTTTCACGATAAAATTTTCCCTCAAAATCCCCCAACGCCCACCCCAAGAATTTCGACATTATGAAATTTCCACCATCTATTAAATTGATACACCTCCACACACACCGCTATAGAAAAGCCGAGCTGCAAAAGCTGGCCGAGAGGGACACCAGCTGGCGGTCGATCTACATAGCGACGTTGATGATGGCGATGGCTGGGATCAACATGAGCATCCTTTTCATGGCCCTTTGGCCCTATATGCAAATGGTAGGTTGCCTAGTCTCTGCGCTTCTCGCTTCAGCACTCTCTAATTTTTCTGCCTCTCTCTCTCACCCTCTCTCTCTCTCTCTCTCTCTCTCATGCCTTCTCTAACTCTCGCGCTCCCACTCGCGCTCACCCCTCCCACTCTCTTCCACTCTCTCTCATTCGCTCTCTTTCTCTCTAGCTTTCTCTGTCTCTCTGTCTCTCTCTCTCTCTCTGACTGTGTCTCGCCCTCTCGCTCCCTCACGCTCACATCTTTTATAATCTTTTTGAAGGTCTCCGACCGTCCGACAATCGAGTGGTTAGGGTGGATTGTTGCCGGAAACAGCCTAGGATGCCTATTTGTTGGTCCACCCCCTTCCCGCAATCAAGATCCTCCTAGGCAAACCTCAGCTTCGGGTGGTGGGCCCAAAAGACGATGAAGACGGCGCATCCGCTCATTTTTGGGTTCAGCATGGCCGCGTTGGGTTCGTTTAACGCTAAAAATCGGTTTAAAGGACCCAGGATTTCGAAAAATAAAGCTGGTTAAACCCAGTCGCCAGATAGTCGAATTTCCCGCTTCCTAGTCCCTTTAATACTTCAGGCAACCTCATCTACGCCATCCTCCCGATGCTCCCCGGCGACATTACCTTGCCCCTAATGTTGGGCGCACGAATATTGACCGGTTTCTGTACAGGTAGACATTTTTTGGGGCTCTGGAGTTGCTCATCAACACCTACCCGTTCAGGCTGCCTCGGCGTCCTCCGCTCCTTCGTCGCTATGTGCTCAAATGCTAAGGATCGACTCAAAGCTATGGCCACGCTGAGCACCGGACTCACCATCGGCCTATCGATCGGCCCTGTAATCCAGGTGGATGTGCGGTAGGGCGAGGGTGTACCGTACTGCTTGAAGATGTGCTTCATGCCGATCGGTCCGGACGGGTTGAGCATCTTCGGGGTCCGCTTCAACCAGTACACCACGCCTGGGTTCTTCATGACGGCTGTGAGCTTGTTCTGCGTCTTCCTGCTCGTCACCTGGTTCGAGGAGAATTATGTGGGGATTATTTCGGACGATGAGAAGATGAGTGAGTTCAGAATAAGCCTAATGAGCTAATAAGCCTAAGCCTAAGCTATTTACTAGCCTAAGCCAGCCAACCCTAAGCCATGCCTAAGTTAGGCCTAAGCCGAGGCTAAGCCAAGCCTAAGATTAAGCTAAGCTAAGCCCGATAAGCAGTTCCTTGCGAAATCTCCTGTTCTAGGCAACCCATGGCTGGTCATCCCAAAATTCGACCGGCTGGCCGTCCTGGTGATGTTCTACCTGTGGTGCTTGTTGATGACAATCGCCACGTCCTTCTACTGGTCAGTAACTTTTTCACAAAGACCATATATTAAATATTTTTCATCTTATTATGCTATTACAGCGTGGCGACCCCGATGGCAATGTCGATGTACGGCTGGTCGAGCGAGGAGGCCGTCACGTACAACGCGCTGCTACAAACTGTTTCTTGTATCCTGTCGGCGGTGACGAATGCGTTGCTGGCGAAGACCCGACTTGGACATATGTATGGCTTTCATAGAAGAAATGCCGACGTAATAACGACGGCAAAAATTCAGTCCCGGGAATTTCAAAAAAAACCAAAAAAAAAAAAAAAAAACCACCGCCGAAAAAATTTGGCGGGGCTTTTAAGACGAAAAACCACCAACAAACTTAAGCAAAAAAAAAAAAGCCCGCCGTATTATGGGTAAATTGATGGCGTTTAGGGGGGACATTTTTGGGAAAATTGTTTTATGTCGGCATTTTTTGTCCGTATTCCCTACTGAACTTGTCGGCATTTTTCCCGCCGCAGCTGCTTGTTGCCAATATGTCTGTCGGCAGTTTTCGTTTTCGGTATTTTATTATCGGCATTCTGACTGCCTCTTCATCATCTCACGCTCTATTCAGGGATCGTCGTCGTCAACTCATCGCTGGCCTGACGTTGTTCTTGATCTTCATGATCATCTTCTTCCCGTGGTTCTTCTACCCTGACGCCCATGCCGTCGCCTCCGACCCGCGTGTCTGCAACTACGCCTGGTGCGCGACGAGGAGGACGTGGGTGTACTCCATACAGTGTAAAAACCACACTTCAGCGTGCCAATCTGGCTGTACTGCTCGGCATTCATCGCCTGTTTCGGCACCGGATTTCCGTTGTGCATGACGGCACTGAACACGCGGATATCGGAGATATTGGGACCCCGGAAACAGGTTGGGAATATGTTCGAGCAGTTCAGGTTTTAGGAAGTGGCGAAGCAACCATAAGCTGATAGGATGGCAACATCCTCGAGCAGTTCAAATTTTCCAACGCTTTCAGAGCTTCATCCAAGGCGCGATGGCGTTCACCGGCAGTCTTTCGCAGTTTGCCTGCCCAATTCTCGTGACGTAGGTGTTGCTCAACGACATGGACAGGGTCGATTTCCAGGTGGCTGTACGAAAAGGATGGGTTCCGCCCGGTCTCGCTGCTCAACATCATCCTCCACACGCTCGGCATCCTGATCATTGTACTTTTCTACCGTCGCCTGGTGCCGCTGGAGATGAAGCCCGAGCTCGGGGAGGCCACAAAGTACAAACGGGGCACGTTTTATCGGTTTTAAAGTTGTGGTAATTTGTCGAGAGTTCGAGATTGCTCGATGAACCCTGCTAGCTGCCCCTTGTTACTGTTTAGGTAGGGTTTTACATTGCGTGCGGTCGCGTCGCGTCTAGGTCTCGCCGCAGCGTGACCGTCACGCGCTCGTCACGTCCGTTTCCCCCTTAAAAGTTACCACTTATGTTTGATGATGTTAGAAATCGATTGTGATTTCCGGAACAAGCTAGCAAAGATAATTTAGCTAGCGTTCCGATACCCTAAAGGGGCTAGGAAGTCACGAGAATCGACCCTTTCTGCCGAGTAGGTCTCGACAGCTACGCATTACGCCATGATACGGAATTTGTACGGCATGATCAGGATATGTTTCGAATAGACACAAAAAATGCTTTGTGCTTTTTGCCACTGGCCATTTGCGGTTTTGTCGAAGTATCATATCTGTCGAGACCTAAGGGACAACGGGGGTCGAGATGTCACTTTCTGGCTCCTTTAAAGGGACCTGTAAGGCATTGGCGATTTTCCCGCACCGCGGCAGGCAATGCCCACTGCTTCTCGGCCTAATCCGCTACGCAATATAAGTGCATGCATGCGAGTTGCTTGCCCGTTCGCAACCGGATTGATAGTCATGCCTTGCTTGTTCCTTTAATTTTTTTTTGGTTCTTTCCCATTATCGGGGGGGGGGGCTAGTGTATCTCAGGATGGGCGAATTTATTTGCAAAAGCCTAGAAACATAATAGTAGTGATTTTAATGGTGTTTTTAGTCAAGTTTAACTAGATTTCAAGGGCAAAAAGCATACAAACTTCAAAATTTTTTAGCAATTTAAAATTTTGGTAGAAACTGGCTTTTTTGATCAAAAATCGTATTCTTTAATTTTTAACAAAGAATTAACATTTTTTCGCGTTGAATAATAGAAAACCAAACCGGGTAAAAACAATGTCTCTAGCAAAAAAATTCCGATACTAACGAAAAAGTTTGTCCCCCCGATAATGCAAAAGAACCAAGCTCAGCACGTTTCCGATCTCAGCAATTATTTTGTATTTTTCGATAAAACGTGTGAATAAATCTTATTCGTACAATTGTGTGTCGACAACATGCCATGACGAGTTGCATCGAAGAGCAAAAGTTGCGCAACGTTGAGCAGTGCAGTATGTGAGCGGCTGGAAAAACGGGGGGTTGATGTATGCAAATCTGGGTCGGGGCTCGCCCGCCGGTGGCCCCACCCTCCAACACAGCACTTTTTGATTTTCGAAAGCGAGCTTTTGTAGGTTTTTCGACGTCTGAAATTACGTTTCAAATTTTTAAAGCTCGAAATAGCTTAATTTATATACCTTAAGGCTAGGGTACCCGGGATGGCGGCGATCAAGAGCAGCAAGTCGGCGCCCGCCGAGTTGGGGTTGGTTAGGTTAAATTGCCCGTTAAAGACCAAGTTAAGCTTGAAACGACCGGAGAAGGAGACCGACTGGCGCGCCATCTACATTGCCAGCTTCATGTTGGTGATGTGCGGGATGAACATGAGCATCTTCTTCATGGCCATCTGGCCCTACACGGTGCTGGTGGGTGGCTTGGGATTTGACGTTTTGCTTCTCTCTCTCTTTCTCTCTCTCTCTCTCTCTCTCTCCCCTCTCTCTTTCTCTCTTATTCTTGACCTCTCTCGCTCTCTCTCATTCTCTCCAGCTTTCTCTCGCTCACTGTCTCTCTTGCGCTCTCTCTCTCCTCTCTCTCTCTCTCGCTCGCTCTCTCGCTCTCTCGCTCGTTCTCTCACAGGAGTCGGTCATTTTTTTAAGGTAGCTCCCGATACCCATATCAGTATCCTCGGCCTGACCGTCTCGGCAAACAGTCTTGGATGCTTGGTGGTAGGCATAATTTGACAATTTTGCCTATAACGTAACCCTAACCCTTATTACTTCAATATACCTATAGGCCAACCCAACGTTCGGCTACTGGGGCCAGAAGACGATGAAAGCCGCCCAACCCGTAGGGTTTGCCTTCGCGATGGCGGCGATTGGTGAGAGGCACCTCAAAAATTAACGGATTTTTAGGTAACCTACTCTACGGTATCCTTCCCGTGCTCCCCATCTCGTGGTTCGTACCCGCAATGTTGCTGGCTCGTTTCCTGGCTGGGATTGGGGCCGGTATGGTAGATGATCATAACCGGAAGGTTGCATTCTAGGAACCCTTGGAGTGTTGCGCTCATTTACCGCCACCGCCAGCGCACCGAAAGATCGGCTGAAGGCGATCTCGATCTCGAGCTTCGGGTTGACCACCGGGTTGTCGATTGGGCCGGTTATTACGGTAGGTGTAGATTGGAGAAAACTGCACTTCTTGGAGACGTACACGTCAAGTGCCAGATTTATATTCCGTTTTTGTAAATTCCGAAGAAAAAATTTTTTGTAAATGTACTCTAGTCGCAGCTCCAGCAGCAGCTTCTCCAAAACCCCCATATTTCAGCTGCTGTTCATGCCGATGGGCGTCGACGGGTGGGAGCTGTTCGGGCTCCCGTTCAACCAGTTCACTACCCCCGGCTATTTTATGTTCCTGCTCTGCATCGCGTGTGTCGTCATCTTGATCACGATCTTCCGCGAGAACCACGTTGGAATCATTTCAGACGAGGAAAAAGCCGGTGGGTGGCGATGCGTTCAGGTCATCTACGGAGGATAAGTCTGCGCCTCAATCTGAGTGTGATCAAGTCTAATTTTCAGAAAACCCGTGGTTCGTCCTACCGAAATGGGACCGAATCTCGGTGGCCATCCTCTTCTTCGTGTGGGCCTGCATGGCCGGCGTGGGCGCTTGCGTATATTCGTAAGTTACTTTATCTCTCTGTCTCTGTCTCTCTCTCTCTCTCTCTCTCTCTCTCTCCCTGTCTTGCACCCCCGCACCTCAGAATCTCCTCCCCGCTGACGATGGTGATGTACGGGTGGTCGTCAAACGAGGCTGTTGCCTACAATTCCCTGCTCCAAACCGGAAGTTGTGCCATGTCGGCGGTTACCTACATCATGTTGGCAAAGACGCGATACGGGAAACTGTGAGTCGTAATACGTAGAGTAGAGAGAGTTTATTTTCACTTTGTCGAAAACAAGAATGTCGACATCCCTTCGAAACTGCCCATTCAGAAAATCTCGAAATTCCAAAATACCGACAACTTTATAGTGTCGGTATTTCAAATAGGACATATCAAAAACGAAATTCGACATCATGAATGCTAAATTCGGCCTTCTGAATTTTCGGCATTATGAAATTCGACGTTTTCTAGCTTAAATATTCTGAAATACCGAAATTCTGACATTTCGACGCTATGAAATCCTATGTTATCCGATTCGGGTTTCGAATTTTGCGATTCTGAGTCTCCGAAAATCCGAGCTGTCGGCATTTTTTAATCAGCCCCTGACCCCCTGACCTTTCAGCGATCGCCGCTTCTTAATCGGCATGGGATTGGGCACGTTCCTCATCTACCTGTCGATCATCTACCCGTGGGGCTTCTACGAGGGCCCCCTCAATTTCATTGCCGCAAATGGTGAGGGTGGGTACGGTATCAATAGTGCATTCTAGAAACGACCGGTGGATGCCCGCAGCACTATCAGTGGTGCGCTGACTACACGAGAGTCCCATTTTTACTATATTCCACTGGGTTCATTTTGGCACTCGGTGGGTTTTTGTGGCTACTGTAGTAATCACAGCTTTTAGGGATCGGATTTCCGACAATAGTGGGACCGCTGAATGCCTTGTTTTCTGAGGTGGTCGGTCCGAGGAAGCAGGTTGGTGCGAGAGGATAGAGATTGAGAGAGAGAGAGAGAGAGAGAGAGAGAGAGAAAGAGAGAGGGGGGGGGGGGGGGGGGGGGAAGAAGAGGAAGAGTGTGTGGGGAGAGAGAGCGAGAGAGAGAGAGAGAGAGAGAGAGAGAGAGAGAGAGAGAGTGAAAGAGAGAGCGAGCGAGAGCGAGAGGATAGAGGGAGAGAGCGAGCGAGAGAGAGAGAGAGAGTGAGGAAAAGAGAGAGAGAGAGAGAGAGAGAGAGAGAGAGAGAGAGAGAGAGAAAGAGAGAAAGAGAAAGAGGGAGAGAGAGCGAGAGCGAGAGAGAGATTTCGGCATTTGCCCTCCATATAACCACAATCCATTCCAGAGCTTCCTCCAGGGCCTAATGACATTCACGGGCAGCCTATGCCAATTCATCGCTCCCCTCATCATCATGCCCGCATTCGAAATGTCGGGATTCCGTTGGGTGGCCATGGGGACGTTTATCCTCATTTTATGCGCCATTGCCCTGCTGACACTTTTCCGCCACCGTATGGTCCCTCTAAATATGGACCCACCGCGTGGACTCGCCACAAAATACAAGAGAGGCACCTTCTACAAAATGTAGACGAATAGCCCCTATCATTTCCGGATTTCGGGTGCGATCTCAATAAAAATATATATGTTTATCGCACGGAAGTGACTCTATTTTTGAGTTTCGGCTTTTTGAAAGTCCTGAAGCCAAAATCAACACAAAAAACGCCGAAAACGCATAAGTGAATGGTGGGGGAGAATCAGGGGGAGAAATGAAAGTACTCAAAAATCGTCAGAAAATGGTAGAAAGTCTGTCGGGCGTTCGGATGGGGAGAGGAATGTCATCATTCAATGGTGGTGATAGTGATAGAATTTTCGCAAAAATAAAAAATAAAAAATAAAAAATTACGAACGACAAGCGAAAGGATTACGGTAAAGCGATAGAAGTCTCGGGGAAAAGGCGGGAATTCACAAAGTTTTGTCGAGGAAAAATGAATGCACATCAGCTGGGGATACCCGCAAAATTAAGGGATTGGGAGTGGGGCAGGGTTTTTAAAGGGATGGGAATTTTTGGTAAGATATTTTGTTCTCGCTTTCTCCCTCTCTCTCTCTCTCTCTCTCTTTCTCTGGTTCTGTCTCTCTTTCTCGCCCTTACTCTCTTTTTCTCTCTCGCTGTCTTGCTCCGTCTATGTCTCTCTCATACACTCTTGCTCGTTCATTCTCTCTCTCCTTCTCTCTCTGACTCTCTCTCTCCCTCTCTCTCTCCCTCTCTGATTCAATCCTTCACTTCCACATCCCTTTAAAACCTCGAAAAATTGTGAGCCATATTCGGGGCAGTGTTTTTCATAAAACATGGCGGGATCAAAGACATCTAGTGGCAGTGGCAGTTACAGTATTCTCAAAACGCCAAAAATTACTGGGTTTAAAGGGCCCGGGAAGTCAAAGAGTCAAATTCAGAATCCACGCGCAATTTTCACTTCTCAAGCCCTTTAATTTTCAAACTACGAGCTACACCCACGAATCGTCAATGGGGCGGTCGCGTTGTTTTTGGACAGAGGCATACAGGGGTTCTCGCCTCTCTATCTGACCGTACGGCGGGCTGGCGTACGGTGCGGGGGGTTGATCGTACGGTGTCGGGGGCACGGAATAGCGTCCATCTAGGCTGGGCGGTGCCTCGTAGTGCTGGGCGGCGGGGGCGGCTGCGTAGCGGGCGTAGCCCCCGGGGGAATTATTTCCGTAGGCGTCTCCGATGTCTTGGTAGATGTTGGATGAGCGGGCGGGAGGGGGTGGGGGAAGTGGCGGTTGGTGGGAGAACCTGCAAAAAACAGGGTTACTTTACATTTTGACATTTCGAAATTGTCAAATTCCGACATCATTTTACGTTTTTACGTTCTAAAATGATCAGGACCGCGAGCAAAATTTTAAAATGTACAAAAATTGCAAAAATTTAGCAGTAAAAAGTAGATTTTGAATGTCGGGATTTTGCATGTCGACATATTGGTCTGTCGGTATTTCAAGTGTCGGTATTTCGGCTGAGGTGATTTTCGCTTGTTGGGATTTGCGGCTACCGAGATCTTGACTTGTCGGGATATACCGTACAACTGACGATTCGGTATTCTGAGTGTCGGCATTTTAAATGTCGGCATTTTGAGGGTCGTGATTTTAGCTATCAAGGTCGAAATATCGATTTTCTGAGCATGTATAATCTCGAATTTCGGCAAAACGTGTGAAAAACCGCCTTGCCGACCTCTTTAGGCAATTTTTCAGGGTTTAAAGGGACCGGACAGGCAAAGACCGAAATGCCAACAAATGGATTCAGAATGACGAAATAGAATATGCCGATTTTTCTGCCAAATATCGACCGTCTGTCGGTATTTTCGAGAGTCTGGGTTCTAAAACTGCGGATTTGAGCCTGTCGGGATTTTTAATGTCGTGGTTATGGCCTGTCAGTATTTTAATTGTCGGCATTTTTGGCTTTCGGGTCTTTTCGTAGAGGAAATCCCACTACTAAACGACCCACCCGTTCGTATAATGGTTCGTCGGGCCAGAGGGCGTGCGCGACAGTGATGGTTGATTGGAGCGTGCCGTCCTAGTGAGGTCGTAGAACTAAACGATACAAATTACACCTCAAGCCTCAAGCATTCTTTTGGTTAGTGATCTACCACGGTTGTTGTGTTAATTCCGGGTTTTACACAGAGCATCGACCACGCACCCAAAGCACATTAGTCGCACAGGGAAAGAGAGACCGGAAAGAAACGGAAAGTCGCGCAAAAAAATAATTCTCGGTCTCAGGCACGCACACAAGGCACTCGAGGGCCAAAAGAGAAAATGAAAATATAGAAAACGCAAATTCTGGGGGGGAATTTGGGGATTTTTTTCGTGGTTTAAAGGGACCGGGAAGGTAGAGGCCAAAATGTCGACAAATGGATTTTAGAATCTCGTACTCGAAAATGTCGATATTTCCACCAAAACATCGATTTTCTGTAAAAATGCTGCCTTGCCACCCCTAAGCCCTTTTTCGAGGTTTAAAGGAACCTGTAAGCCAGAGATCGAAATGCCGACACCTGAATTCAGAACACCGAATTCGAAAATCTTTCTATAAAACATCGATTTCCTGGACTTGAATAACTCCCAATTTTGAAGACGGTAGAAAAACAGCCTATTTCGCTGCCTTGCCGGTCCCTTTAAACCCTAAAAAAATGCCGAAAAAGTTGGGGGATACTGCTCGCCACATAGCCATACCTTTGGGCGATCATTTACGCGATTTCTTCGGCTTCTGAAAACGAGATGCGGGGTTCTGGGCGAGAGAGTGGCGAGAGAAAGAGAGGTAAGCAGAGAAGCAGAGCGATTTTGCGTGGGTTCGGGGGGGTTTACCTGTTGTTCTACGGCTCCGTAGCCGCTGCTCATCGTGTCGTCGAGGGTTCGATTTTGGCCCTTTGGTCGTTCGCGGCCCTGGGAGTGGATTGGGCGGGCGAGGGTGGCCGAGTCGCCTCTGAAAAATGTGGGTTTTATGCTTTCTGACTGTGCATTAATGCCAAAATGTTATGCCGTCAAGTTCCAGCAGTTCGGCGTTGGTTTGAGAAATCGCCTAACGCTATTTGTATACTTTCATTTAAGTTCAAATGACATGAATCAAGCCGTTCAGCGCTAAATTCGGAACAAATTTAGCATAATTTTGCATGGACTCACTTAAAGTTCAGCATTAAATCTGGAAGAAGTTGCTCGTAATTTAAATAACGCCCAGTTCAGCGTGTTCAGCGCTGAATTTAAACAAATTTTACGTAATCTTCATGACGTCATTTTCGAGCGGTTCAGCGTTAAATCATGAAGAAATTGAGCGTAATTGGCATTAATGTCAAGCCGTTCGTCGTTTTTTACGAAAGAATCAAGCCAAAGAAGTTATCTTAAAGGGATACCCAATGTTTCGCCGGCAAATATATAGTTATGTATTCCGGGCAGTACAAATGACGCGCGAATTTTGTGCGGCAATGGGCCCCAAAGCCGCACAGAATTCGGACCCCTTTCCCTCTTGTGGCGTTCCCATCCCATCCAATGACTTGCCACTATGGCCTAATGGATAGCATCTAGGCCTACAAGACGGGGGTCCCGGGTTCGAACCCCGCCCGCGGCATGGTTTTTGCTTTTTGAGCCCTGAACAGGTTGGGCATCCCTTTAAGCTTGTTTTTAACTAACCTCTTCGACGACCCCGTCGCGTAGAAATCAGAGTCTTTGAGCCCGGCCCTTTTGAAGCCGTCCTGCAGCTCCTTGTGCTGCCACATCACGTAACAGCACCTGGGTCGCATATCTCCCCACTCGGCCGCTGTACATTGGGAACGATTTGGCCAGGTGCTGCAGCTTTTCGGTGCCGTGGGCTTGATGGAGGTCTCTGGAAGGATGGATTGAACTCCTCGAATTCGTCGAGGCCCGTCTTCTTAGCCAAGATTTGACACTCACTTGGTGAACTGTGCGCTCTCCCGAACCACCTCGAAAAGGATGCCGAGGATGGCGCTGATCGTCTGATCTGAGGGACCCTTGTTGGCCTCCCTTCTTGACCCAGGCTCCGGCAGCTTGTCGAGCAGTTCACGCATCGCGTACTTGCCTGAAATGTCAATTTTTAACAAAATTAAGCCGAGGTCAAGTTCAAGCAGCTCAGCGCCTACCGATAAGCTCTCGATTTTTGGTATCGACGGCCAGGTTTCGGAGCAGCGTGGCGACGGAACAGGCGAGTCGATCGTCCTGCTGCTTGACGAGCTCGACGAGCATTGGGAGTCCTTGGTTGACCCTGACCAGGCCGCGCACTTCGGCCGAAGCGTCGAACTGGCAGCCGGCGAGGTTTTGGAGGGCGCCGGCAGAGGCTTCAAGCGTTTCCGGGTTCTGGGCGTCTTGGAGGAGTTTAAGGTACAGCTTGACGACGTGGGCCTGCCAGAGGATGGCGCCACCCTGGAATGGAGGGATGTAGAGAGGAGATAGAAAGAGAGAGAGAGAGAGTGAGAGAGAGAGAGAGTGAGATGAGAAGAGCGGAGGAAAAGAGAGGGGAGCGAAACTACATACCGACGGAAACGCATCCGCTGCCGCCGCCTCCCCCGCCTTGGTCTTCTTCTTCTTCTTCTCCGGCTTTGGACTCCCCGAAGGCGCCGACTTGCTCCTCCCGTTCACCTTGTCGTGCGCCTTATGCGGATCGTAATTCGGGTCCACAACCTCTTGCACGCGATAGCTCAAATTCCGCAGAATACACACGACGTTTTCCACCGTTGGCGTATCTACCTGAACATCCGTCCTTAACTCCAGGCTCTGGTAGATGACCAACCTGTCCTCTTTGAACGGCCGTCGTCAAGAAATGGACAAGAGCCTCGATAAAATGCGGGAATCTCCGCAGAAGGACTCGAGCCTGGGGGGTGGCCGCCGAGATGTTACGCAGCACGCCGGTGGCATTTTTGAAGAGCGCCGAGTTGCTGTTCAAATGGCGCAACTGGTCGAAGCCGGCCGACATTCCGGCAGGGACGTAGCCGCTGCCCGGGATCACCACCTGGAATGGGTTGTTGAACAGATTTAGAGGAATTGCGCCGCTCGATATGACAAAATTGCCTACCACTTGCACAAGGGGTTCAGCCGCAGCGCCAAGGATGGACTCCTTCAGCTCGTCGGCTGAAGACAAGTTCCATAGGGCTGCTGTTGCTTCTTCCTGAAGAAAAAGGGTCTCGGGAGCCTGAGCTTAAGACAATCTGAAGCACCCTATTACGCATGGCCGAACTCCTTGAAGTTGACGGCATGGAATTGTTGTCCCTTCCTTTCAAACCACAATAGTTCAATCCATACCTTAACAGCGGCGTCGTGCGTTGTCTGCACGAGTGCGGACAGCATCTGGATCCCATTGGCCTGGTGTACGGCGAGCTTGTTCGGCTCGTTCTCCCGCCCGAACGACAGATTCTTGAGGCAGGCCGCCGCGTTTTTCTGCGTGGCCGGGTCGTCGCTCTTCAGGAGAGCGACCAGCTTGGGGACGCCTCCCAATTCTCGTGTTTCCTCCTTGATGAGGTTGTCGGAGAAGGTCAGATGCTGTAGATAACCGCTCGCATTTCTCTGCTTCTCTCGATCGGCATGGGCCAGGTATTCGATGACTTCTTTGAGGTTTGGGTCTCGCCATTGCACTGAAAGGGATGGCATTTTGTAAAAAAACAGTTATAGAAAAGCAAGAGATAGAAGGGAGGCAGGAGAGAGAGAGAGAGAGAGAGAGAGAGAGAGAGAGCGGGAGAGAGAGCCAGAAAAACCTAAAAATCAACTCACAATTCCCATTCTGATTCCTCCGTATCGGCGGCGGGCTATCATCCCGATCCGGAAGCGGCGGGCTCTCCCTCACCATCTCCTCTTGCAGCAACCGAATAGCCCCGAACCGCTCGGCCTCGACGTACTTGGCCTCGCCCTGCCGGGCCGTGATCAGCACCGGCGGGCTGGCGTCGGACGGCGGGGAGCAGCCCGAAACGTTGTGGGCCAGCACTCGGAATTGGTACTCGTGGCCGATGATGAGGTCGCCGACTGAATTTTGGGGTTAGCAACGAGTGCGAGCAGTTCAGCGGTAGAAGCGATTCCTCAATGATCTCTGCTAGCCTGCCCCAAGCTTACCGGTCATTTTGCACAGATGGATGGGTCCCTCGTTGACCTTATACCAGTTGGAGTCCTGCTGGAAGTCGCGGAATTCCACGTCGTAACCGATTACGGGGAGCGTGGATTTGGCCGGCTGCCAGCAGAGGGCTATCCGATCCCCATCTACTTCGAGGTATTCGGGGGCCTCGGGTTGGGCGGGGACGCCACGGCTGGTTGCCGCCTGAAGATGAACAATTAATGGGCTATGGAAGCTGCTGTTTTGACGAATTTAGGTAGCGTGCGATGCACTACGGAAGTGACACCAAGAAACTTACGCTTTCGAGGTAAATTTGATATTGCTATAGGTTATTGATAAAAGCGTGGAAAAATGGAGTAGAATTTTTTTAGATTGCTCGGTCTCTCTCGCACTCTCTCTCTCTCTCGCACTCTCTCTCTCTCTCTTTCTCTCTCTTTCTCTAGCTACTATCTCTCTCGCTCCCTGTCTCGCTTGCTCTCTTCAGCTCTCTCCGGCTCTGTCAGTTGCTCTCTCTGTCTCTAGCTCTTTCTCTCTCTCTCTTTCTCTCTCTCTCTCTCTCTGTCTTTCGCTCTCTCTTTTGTTTCTCTCGCTCTCTCCTTTGTCTCTCACTCTCCCTCTCATTATCTTTCATCCGTCTGCATTCAAGAGAATTCAGCTAGAAAAAGTAAAAGCGCGAGACAGAGAGCGTGAGGGTGAGGGAGAGAGAGAGGCTGAGAGAGTGAGGGTGAGGTAGATAAATTCTAGTACTGAATCAAATGCCTTTTAATAACCCTATACCTTCCACAACGGCCGTAACGACACCACTTCCGACACTTCCGACGGCAGTGATGAGAACCCGTCCATGATGGAGACGACGCGGAACTCGTAGGTGCTCCCCGGCCGTAACCCTTCCACTTGTATACAATTGTGGGGCAATGGCTGATTGCTAGCCGCGTACCACTGCGGGTCTCCGACTTCTCTGAAAATAGTTTGTAGCTTGTAGCCCAGTATTTCGATACCTATACTCGACGATGTAGGCGATATCCGGTCCTGAGGCTTCTTGCCATTCGAGCTTCACCCAGTCCATATCAAATTCGACGATCTGAAAGCGGGATGGGCTTTAGATATTTTAAATTATGTAAAAAATATGAAGGGTTCTGTTGTATTATCGTGGGGATCAGGGGAATATAATTTTTATCGCTAAAAATGCCCACAACGGAATAGAAGGGGATTTTGGTTTAGTGTTTTTGGTAAAATTTAACCATTTTTAAAGCGGAAAAACTGGCCAAAAACTAGCCAAAATTTTGAAAATCCGCGTTTTTGCATAAAAAAGGTCACTTTATTAATCTTTTATCAAAATTTTTATAGTTTCTGCAATCAGAAAACGTAAGAAATAGTTTAAAAAACACTCCTTCTGGTTATTCTAAAAAACGGATACCGGTGGAAAAACTTGGCTTTTCCTTATTAGCCCCTTCCCCCGATAATGCAAAAGCACCATTTTAGGAATAATAAGAACACATAGATAACATTATGATGACAATTACGGTAGGAGTACCATACCTGGGGCTGGCCCGGAATCGGGACTCGTTCGGAGACGGGGCGCCCGCCAGCTCCTCCACTACGTGTCGGGGCTGCCGGCTGAAACGTTGTTTTCATAGTAATATTTTATTTTATATATTCGAATTCAGCGTAAAAAATTGCAAAAGATATGTCTTTGCTCCCATTAATAGCGCTCACCTTGATATGGGTGGGGCCGCTACCCGGCTGGCCACGCCCACCCCATCAGCGTTCCGGCCGCGTACCCGAAACTCGTAGACGCCGTTCGGGCGCAGGGATTCGACTAAAAAAATTAGAGTGCTGATACAGTGCTACAGTACTACAGTACTATAAACTACAAAGTACACAAATTCCAGTCGAGCTTATCAAAACCAACCTGTATATCTGGTCTCAGTTATCCAAGTGTCGGTGGCCACGATCCAGTCGGTGGTGCCGTAGACGCGATATTCCACTTGGTAGCTAAAATTATGGGATCGATAGTCAGTGCGAGAGAGAGAGAGAGAGAGAAAGAGAGAGATAGAGAGCGCGCGAGAGAGAGCGAGAGAGCCAACCTACCCAGCCAATGGTGCAGCATGAGCATCAGCCGGTGGCCCCTCCCACTCGATCGTCGCCCTCTGCCCGTCGACAGCGATCACGCTCGGCCGGCCGGGAGCACCAGGTGTCGGGCGGAGCCTGAAAAACAATTTTAATCAAGTTCCGTAGATTTTTCAATTATACAGAATTTATAGTTTTAGGTTTCTAATGTTAGGGTGAACGGGAACGCTATAAAAAACCGGGCGGACACGTTGCGGCTCGCGCACGAGGCGACAGGATTAGGCCCAGGTTTAGGTTTAGGCTTGAGCCTGGGTTTCAGCTTAGGGTTAGGCGGAGGCTTAGGCTTAGGTTTTATTAAGCCTCGCTAGCCAGCAAAATTGCCCTGCCTTGCCCGCCCCTTTAAAGCACCCACGCTTTCGGCGAAAAGGCCGATAATCGAGCGGCTGGAATATGATTTGAATATAGCAGTGCTGGTAGGGCAGAATTATCTCAATGTTGGCCATTCAATTCTTAGGGTTTGGAGGAGCCAGGGAAAATGGGCTGGGGCATTTCCTAGGCCGGGATAGGCGGGAGGGCAGAAATTTGAGACGCCAACAAGGTGTGCAATATTCATCCGGCAAAGGGGGGAGCATTGGTTTCTAGGCGCTAATGGGTGAGCTGAGGGAATGGTGGGCCTGTTTTAAAAGGAGCGTGCCAGTTGGGGATCGGATTTAAAGGAATTGTCAAGCGGGAATATGCTGAAAATGGCGGGTTATAGCGTATTTAATCCTTAGCGATCAAGTGACGCTCTCAACCCGAAAAATCAAGCTAAAAACGAAAATGTTTTTTGGAAAAGCTGTTGGTCTGGGTTTTTGCTGAAGCTTACTTAGTCTTAGGATTGGCTTAGGCTTAAAATTAGACTTTTCTTCGGACCTAGGCTTAAGCTCAGGTTAAGAATAGATTTAGGTTTAGGATTAGGCGTAGACTTTGCTGAGTATTAGGCTTAGGTTTAGACTTAGGCTTCGGTTAGGCTTAGGCTTTTCTTGGGCTGATTAGGCTTAGGCTTGAGCTTATGATTAGGCTTAGGCTTAAACTTAGG